CAACAGCAACAGCATCAGCAACAGCAACAGCAACAGCAACAGCAGCAGCAACAGCAACAGACCATCATCCCGAGCAAGCAATATTGCACGAGACATCGTATCTAATCATCCCACATCGGACGCCGTTGTGCGTCTCCATTTGGGTGAAAGCCGCAACCTCCCGGTAGTTCTCGGTTGATTTCTCCAGTGCCTCGCCCCCTGCTGGGTGGGTGAGTCAGTAACTGAGTGGGCCCCTGCTGTTCGGTAAGGACAACATTATGGTGCAACATCACAGCTGCCAGATGCCACCTGTGTCTCCGGCGATGATGCCGCCGGAGGCAGCGGACCACGGCGCTGACGGCATTGATGCGCCTTTGACCGAGCCTCCCTAGCCAGGTGAAGCTCATCGACTTCGGATTGGCGATGATCACCAGCCACGAGGTCTTGGGCCGCTCCGGCTCAGTGATCGGCTCTGCGGACTACTTGGCACCAGAGGCAAATTGTGGGACCGCTTGTGCTTTCGGGGACAGTGGGTACACTTCGGCAAGGCCGGGCATATCAGCAACCTCCCGGCTTCCGATGTCTGGAGCGCCGGCATGGCTTCTCGGATATTCTTGGCTTGACTTGCAGAAGCTCCGTGCTTGTCCGTCTCCGGGCCTTCACTCGAACCTGTGGTTCTGCGATTGGGGTGTGATGCGAAGGTGCTACATGCCATGCTGTGCGGCAGCCTGCCGAAGTGGGATGAGAACACAAAGGACGCTGCGGCAATGCCTCTTTCGCTTGGCTTGAGACGCCCCTTCCCTGGGACTGGAAGGAATTGGATTTCGAGACTTCGATCTACAAGTCCTTGTCTTCCTCAGCCCGAGACTTGTTGAAAGGCCGCTTGCCTAGCTTCTCATGCTCTGTCAGAATGCCAGCAGGCAAAGAGAGGGGCCTCGTGCGACATTGTGCGGACTCAGGCCTCCTGGTCCTGGATCCCTCCCTACGGCTCCAGGCAGCAGCGGCCCTGGGGCACCCGTGGACACAGGGCCTGGAGTCGCGAACACCCAAGGCTCAGCGCAGTTAGGATTGCAGGTCCGTTCCTTGGCGTCGTGTCTGCAATTATGCAGGACTTGACACCAACACTGGTGCCTTGCCTGCACAAGCGCAACAGCACCGGCGCACGGGTATTTCGCGATGTGAATCGCGCAGCGTTGTTTCACCGAGACGTCCTTTGTGGCCTTCCACCGCAGTGCCAAGCTGCGGCGCGCTGCGCTGGCAGCTTTAGCCACGCAGCTCACGAGCTGGCAGCTGCGGGTAGGGGCCCCTGCGGGTGCCCTGATTGTGTTTCTCCGTCGCTTCTGAAGCTGGAGCCCTCTCCAGGATCTTCGGGAGCAGTTCTTGTTGGTCGACGCAAACGGCAACTCGACTCATTGCAGAACTAGCTTCAAGGCTTCTCGAATGCATGCAGATTCATCGCCTGGCATGAGCAGCTTGGCACTGCTCAGGCGATGGCCGGATTTCGAAAGAGGATTTGACAATGTCTATCGCACTTTCATCTCCAGGCATTTTCAAGTGAATAAGTCACGGCAGTAAATCGTTTCTGGCGAACCTCCTCATTATGAAGCTGCGACCATTTGTCTCTCTTGAATCCGCCGCAGTTCCGTCTCGCTCTCTCTCTCTCTCTCTGTCTCTCGCTCTCTCTCTCTCTCTCACTCTCCCTCCTCTCCAGCTCTGTTCACCGTCTCTTTGTCGGCCGTTGAAGGTGGCGCGGCTGAAGACGTGCGAAGCTGGGTCGAGGCGATATTCGACTCTGCCTCTTGCCTACAAACCCTCCATGCCAATCGTGGAAGCCGGATGAAGTTGACAGCTCACAGGTTGGGCCATTGCACATTCCATCCTTACATCGTACTGGTGTGAGCCAGTGTGAGCAGGTTGATCTCTGGGTTCCACACCAGGCCCAAAACAGTAACAGCTTTACTTCCTTTGAAGTTGCCAGCTGTGCCAAGGTGTTTCTTGAAGGTGATCGACACATCGAATACACTGCTACTCGGTTGCGTTGCTTTACTTGTCAGACAAGGTCGGGAGCCCCCACAGTTGTCACATTGCAGGCACATCAAGAATCAAGACACTGGTTCTATTCGGGCCTGGCAAGTAGGTGCGTGGCAAGAGCTTTGTCGTTTTTTCCTTCCACGGACATTGAGGAATGGTTGGCAGCCGTACTGCAGCAAGGTCACTGTGTCTCGGAGGAGCCCTAGATCTAGATGCCGCAGAAGTCGGATGTTCAGGCTTGAGTTCTAGACTCCAAGGTAGAAACCACCTCCCCCAACAACAGCAAACTTTCGGCGCAGACTTCGTTCGCTGTAGCCCTGCCTCCAGGAGGCTGTGCGAGCCGCCTTCCGCATCTTCGACACAGATGGTGAATTGCCCAGTCATGCAGTGAGATTGTTTGCTTGTACCTGCAAGTCAGAGCAGGATGTACCAATCATAGTCATGCACTTCAACTCTCCTTTTCAGTGAGTTCCGCCGAGGTAGGCGAGACCCGCAGCCCAAACCCCAACGTGGCTCCGAAAGGATCTGGGTCATTCCTCGAAGCACGAAGAAGGTTCTGTCAAGTGCAAGACAACAAAACCGAACAGGGAAAAGGCTTTCTTCCTTTTTTGGGCAGCCTTTGCGGTCAGTTTACGTTGTGGCCCGAGGCGACGGCTATATCTGCCAGGGCGAGCTGGGGCAGGCCAGGCCCTTGTAAAAAGAGCTTCATTGCTGTCGCAGAGAGCTCTGGTTCAGGACGGGATAAGCTTAAGCGCACGGGACACTTCCTGCCATATTCACTACTGTATGCTTTCCTCGAAATCTGGACAGAGGTGGCAAAGCATCTCTCCCACGTTCGCTTCTGCAGATCCTGTGGAAGCTACTAAAGTTATTAGATCTTGCATGAGTGCTGCAAGAGAGTCTGATCTCGCAGGTGCTTGCACAGACGCCCGAGGAGGTTGCCAGCTTCTTCTCCGACTTTGACACGAACGGTGACGGTGCCCCATGGCTTTCAACAAGTCGCAAGAGGGTCCATCCTTTCTGGTGCCGAGTCTCCCGATATTGGCGAGAAGCAGATCTGCCTTGCAACAGCCCAGGTGTTGGACTTCAACGAGTTCAAAGGTATTTTTGCTGGAGGCTGATTCATGAGCCTATAAGCCTATAATGTTGTAATGGCCAAACCAGGGGACCTTCTATAACTTTTTTCCGGTGAATTTTCAGGATTTTGCAAATTGTGGTGGTGTCCTATGTAATGCGCATACACATCGGCCGGATCTAATGACCCCTGAACTGCACTACTACTGCTGTTCTGCTGTGCTGCTGTACGACTCTGTACAACCTTCTGAAAAGCCTATCTCCCACAGAGCGAGGCTCCCACACCTCTCTGAAGAGCTCCCGCCCTCGACAGCCCCACCACAAGAGGAAATCCGGAACCCCACTTTCATGCCCCCGGGAAATGGTGGGGGAAGGGGGCCCCACTAAACCCAGTGCACTTTAGTCGCTTGCCTTGGCTTGTTGCTGCTGGAGCCAGCTTCGCCCTCGAGTTGCAGAGGTGACAAAGACGAAGCCTCCGTACACTTCAAGCTGCATTCTCCGTGTTGCCACAGCGTGGTGTCACTGTGAGCACACAGGCCGGGACACAGGGTTTCACGGCTCGTGCAAGCACCAGTTCGGCGAGCTTACTTTGCACGGCAGGTCACAGACTGATCGCGCCTGCGGTGTGCCGGGAAGTTTTTTGAGGAAGACGTCAAGACTTTGATTTTAGAGGTTGCCAAGACCTTCGGCGAAGTCGGGCCGAGCCGGCTAGACAAGTCCTGTGCTTTCCTGATGAGGGCAGCAGGGGGCCATTACGATCAACCGGGTTCAGGGCCTTTTCCCAGCAGATTTGGCTGAGACCATCAGGAATGCTTTCTTTTGGTTTTAATATTTTGTGAAGAGTCTTCCAGTCGAGCTGATGCTTAACTGCTGCAGCCATCCTTTTGATTCTGTGGGGTTACAGGCACGTGTGTGCCGACTTGTATGAAGCATGTCCAAGTGGATCAAGTAGGCGATAGTCTTTGGGTTACAAAAAAGGGCCGCTTTCCCATCTCAATGCCAGCTCAGAAATTAATGTGCATGCCTGGCCGACGACAAAGATGTGGCAGCATAGCCGAGTGTATGTGTGGTGTTGCAGCTGGTGACCATTCTGCTGATGTTCGGATCATCCGGAATCTCTTTCGCTGCTCACGCTGCAGCGTAGCTGCATCTTTTAGCTGTTGGCCCAGTACTGTACAGGGCTTGGGCATTCATGGCACATCGCTGGTTTGCGACATGATTTTCCACCCCTTGTACCTACAGGTTTCAAAAGTTCGAGTAGGTTATGTTCCCTGTGCGCACCAGTGGCATCCTGCGGAGTGAGCTCCTAACAAGACTGGCTCTGGGCGTGGGGGAAAGTTTTGTCCTGCCTCCTCAAAAGGACGGTCAGGTTACAGTTTCTGCTACAAGGCTGTTACCACCCCTGCCAAAGCAGGTAGGTGTGCCTCCCGCGCTTCCCAGCAGCGGCAAAAAGGTAATGAGGTTCGCCTGCTCTTGGGATTTTGTCTTGTAAGTCAGTGACACCTCCAAGCGAAGGCTCCAGCTTTGCCGGCGCCTGCGATCTACCAAGGGCTGCAGTCTTACCTCGCAGGTGCTGGTCCGACAAAGCCTCAACACTGCCCCCGAGTCAGGAAACCGCGTGATGTGCGGCCGCGGCCACATGCAAACTCGGGGACACAAGGCATGCTCATGTTCTTTGGGATGATCTAGTAAACTCAAGCATTTTGCGACACAGATGTTGGCCCCACGCTTGCTGGCAGATTGCTCTCCCAAGTGCGAGCCGGGTGCATCAGGCTAAGAAGCGTCAATCATGTCGTTGGGCGGGCAGTACCTAGGTGGGTGGCATGTTGACACGCAGGCTCCACAGCTGGTGAAACGCTGTCCACGAATCCGTGATTCTGGCATGGTTGGAGCCTGTGGGATACGCTATGACGCCTATCACTTTGCATGTCGTGGTTGGTTGTGCGTCTTTCGACCATCGATGGCTATCCGCGTCATCATCCATAACTTTGGCCTTCAACATAGTCAGCATCAACATCATCATCCTACTACTACTGTACTGCTGCTACCACTACTACTGCTGCTGCTACGGTACCACCACCCCTACCACCGCTACCACTCCTACTACTACTTCTGCTACTACTACTACTACTACTACTACTGCTACTGCTACTGCTACTGCTACTGCCAGTACTCCCGCTTCTCCCACTACGCCTACTGCCACTCTCACGGCCTCTGCTGCTGCTCCAGCTCCAGCCACTGCTGCTGCTGCTACTGCTGTCACTGCAGCTGCACGATGAAGCTGACGACGACGACTGACTATTGCTGCTACAATCTGATCTCTCTCACCAAGACGACGACCACCGCTACTATTGATCCCGGAGTAGGCTCAGACAGACTAGCCGTAGGCTGCGACAACCTGTCCCTGCTGATGGCCCGAGCTTTGGTACCACCACCTTCACCATCTTAGCAACGCAAGAAGCTTTCAAGCAGAAGTTTTGGAAACACATCCAGGGCCATGGCCAGCTCCTTCGACTGCGTGGGGGACACGCTCGCCGTTCCGTCGGAGACAGAGGCAATGAGACATGTCTCGATGCAAAGTAGCTTTAGCTTTGCAGTAGGAGTCTACAGCTGAAACGCTCCAGTGCTACTTTCAGCTCTCGTCCCGCCATGCCCGTTAAGATCAGTTGCACATAGCTGCAGTGGTAGTTGCTGTCCGAAGCGGAGGAACACTCGGATGCGATGTCCGCCCTGCAGGACGAGTTCGAGCCTTGTGCCGCTGTTAGCATGCAGTTAAGGCTGTGCAACTAGCTAGCGCTGACATTTAATAGTCGCCGCCCTATGTACTGATGGGCACCGCAACACTAGCTCATTTGTCATGATTTGTGCTCTTGTTGCACAAGTTGTCACTTCTCAGCCCCGGGATCTTTCTCACCCCCACCTCCGAGCCTCCCAAATCTGCCAAGCTCTGCGAAAGGCTTCAAAGCCGCAGCCGCAAACATCTCCAAGTTTCAGGGCTGTTTTAGGGTAGGCACTTCGTCAACACCAACTCCCAGCCACACTTTGGATAAGCAATGCCGTTGGCTTTCAGAAAGCGATTGTGCTGTTTGATCGTCTCGGCTCCGTGAGGCAGGCCGTAGCCGCCGTAGCCGTAGCCAAGGCCTTGTAATTCAAAGGCTCGGAATTGGCAAAGCTGGTAGCTCTGCATACCAGCAGTGCGCAGCAAGGTGTGCGAGACCCACTTCACACGCAGTTTAAAATCTGCTAGTAGATGATCTGACCCTGTCGTGTATCAGAGTAGGATCATTCCCCCAAACATGGCAACTGACGTATTCCAGCTTGCGCCTTCCGGAGGGCTTTGCATTTTCATCCCTGCGTTGCTCGGCCCAGAGGCATCTTTGGAAGAGCTGGACCACTACGGGCAAATGGCCCATGCTGCGCGCCAGACTTGGCTGACAAACACCACCTCCTTCGTGATTCCTGAGCAGGGTGCGGAGGCTCCAGGATTGCTGGAAAAGCTCGCCGGCTTGCCAACCACAAGGCTCACGGCACGTGGCCTCACGGGCCGGTCCTTGAGGGCGATGCTCTTCTGGCGCCACATCGTGTCCTTGTTAGAAGAAGGCGGCGGCACAGGCAAGTGTGACTGGGTCATGAAAGTACCGGTGTGGAGCTACGTGAACGCACCAACGCTCAAAAGTCGCCTCGACTGCTTCAATGCATCGGAGACCTTTTTTCTCGGCGTGCCCACAGTCGCGTACAGCCCCGGCGAAGAGCCTTTCATGTTTCCGAATCCGTGGGGTGGCACAATCATTAGCCGAGGACTCTTGGGGCATGTGGCTGCTTGGACGGACTACTGTATGAGGTATGCGGAGACGACGGACACACCCTATGGCTCCGACAGCTTCTTCGATGACTACACCTTTGCCATGTGTCTGAGTGACTTGGGGCGCCTTGTGGCTAGTAACTACGCCGACATGGAGGGGAGCTTTATTTTATTTGACCGGCCCAATCATACCATGTCTAAGTTTGAGACTCATCCAGATACGCTGAAGCAGTGTCTACTAGTCGTGGGAAGGCTCGACACTACGGAGCAAGTTCTGCGCGTTCACGATCGGGTGTCGTGGTCAAAGTGGCACACAAGCATCCCGTGTATAGGTGAATCACAGATGGGCAAGTTCAGTATTTCGGATGCCTACGGGAATTCCAAAGAGTATTACGAGGAGCGCATTCGCTTGGCTTTGTATTACTGCAAGGCACCCGAGTTTGTCTACCTAGAGAAGTCTTTGTCGCAGCGCTTACATGGCCTAGACCCTCGTGCAGGGCAGGGTGCCCTAGCCACACCAGTGCCCGGTCCCCCAAGAATGCGAAGACACCTCTGCATCTTTGTGCCTTCAAGCGCGCGAAAATTGCGTTTCATCGAAGCAGCAGAAACGGCCTGGCGTGTGTGGGGGACGAGCAATACTTTCTTCGTCAGCAAACAGCCTCTCTCCGTTGTGCTCGATGGCCAAACATTCCTGCTAGAAAATGACATTGACACGGATTACGCGCACTTGCCTGTCCGAACATTCCTTCTTTTTGAGGCTCTTGGCCAGCCCGAGTGGGTAAATGCCTGCGACTGGTACATGAAAGCTGATGCAGACAGTTTCCTGAACGTGCCGCTGATCGAGCAGCGACTGCGATGCTTCGATCCGTCTGACTTTTGGTTTCTGGGCGTGCCACAGGTCGCACACAGTGCCAGGGGTGCAATGACGAGATTCGCATCTGGCGGTGCCGGTTATATGATATCAAGAGCTTTGCTACCAAAGCTGGCGACATGGGCTCCGTTTTGTTTGCTACAGCTGTTGCAGCATGCCGGCGGAACAGGTATGGAGGACGTTTCCCTCGCCGGTTGCATATGGAAGTGGGGGCACATAGATGTTGTAAGCTATGCTGACTATGAAACGGAGGTTATCACCAGCGAAGCTGCGCTCAACCGAACGAGGGTGACACACACGCATCTGCCCGGCGAGAAATTGGCAGTTCCACCCTGCGCTATGGTGGTGCACTCTGTGCGGCCTGAAAACCTCGAAACAGTGGCTGCCAACATCAAGAGTTCCTGGCAGCAGCGAGATTCCGGCAAGTGTATTCCGGACCAATCGCGATTGATGCAGGGTGCTGCAACCTTGCTATCCCCCGAACTCAGCCATCTGGACATCGAGGCCTCGAGGCTGGGAAACACCTACCACTGGGCTGTTTATGGCGAGAAGGAGTATGAGGTGCTGCTGGCATGTAGCCAGCAACAGGCCGCAGATAATAGCACCTTGTGACATGCTGACTCGCGTTAAGGACTAACTTCTGTCGATGTGCAACTGCGGTCTGAGCAGACTGAACCCTTGCGCATCCGTGTGACCTGTAAGATTAAGCGCTCTCGCTCTCGACGGTGGATCATGCAGTTACCTGTGGTCAACGACGCAGACGCTGCAAGACTGGGCGGGCGGCCTTGCCACGTCGGATGCACGAAAGGCAGACCGAGATAGGTCCTTGCTCAGACGCTGGCAGCTAAAAGGGGGCGGCTTCCACCACGGCGCGTCGTGCAAGTCCTATGTTGAGTGTTGAGAAGTGAACCTGGGTTCCAAGGTTGAAGCTACTTGCTTTTGAGGCCAGCGCTTGGGTTTGTGTGTATCATGTCGGCCTGCACGCATTCTGAAAGGCACAGCGGCAACGCCGCCAGAGCATTAAGATGCACGCCGAGCTTGGGCAGGTGCCTAGGCAAGACCAAGAGGCAAGGCATGGAAGAGTTAAGCAATGTAGGCTTCGATGCAGGTGCTTGCACGCACTCTCTCACAGCACAAGATCTCTTGCGACCTCGCATGGACCTGAGGCCCTGGCAAGCCTGGAGGAACAGCGACTGCAGCATGGCCATGCCGAGGAGGATGGGTGCCATCTTCGGCGTCGTTTTGCGGCTGCCATTGCATCAACGGCCTCCCAAACATAATCCTGACGATCTCAGCTCGAAGTGAGCTAAGCTAAGCAAGAGCAAGCACCGTTGCAGGGCGACGGGGAAGGGCTCCCGAAGCTTGCCAAGCCCCTCCGCTCGAACCGCTCTCCCAAAGGAGCTCTGGGCACATCTCCAGGCCGACGCTTTGTGCCCGCAGAGAAGCACATGCACAGAGGTCGAAGTTCTGCCTGCTTCACTCGGCTCAAGCATGTCTACGGGTCTCCTGGACAAGAGCGATAAGATGAGGATTCGTCAGCGCTTCACTTTCCTTGAGTTTCTCGATGAAGAGGATGTGCAACCATCCTTGAGGCGATCTTGGAGCCTTCCTTGGTCCTTGGCTCCCTGTCCTTCCTCTGCCGAGAACCTCTGCAACATGCGAGCGGCGAGCCACAGTGCGCCCGGTGAAGATGCCATGAGCTCAGACGACTCAACACCGATGTCCGAAGTCTTCTTGGCAAGCGTGTGCGACTTCGAAGCGCTTAAGAGCTTTTGGCGGCGGCTGAGGTGCACGCCGAGGAAGCCTGCGGGAAGATCCTGCGTCCGGCAGATGAGCAGCACAGTAAAGGTGCTGGCAGCATCGGCCATCCTCTGTTGTGTTCTCGACCGTGTGTTCACATTGTCAAGCGCGGTGTTTGTTCGCTACCAGATTGCGGCTTTTGTCATTTGCCTCATCGAAACCGTGAGCAAAAGCTTACCAAGAAAGCCCGGGCTCTCGCTCAAAGCATGCCAAAGTCTGATTTCATCAGAATGAGTTGGAGGCTCTTGCATGGCAAGCTGCTCGAAATTGGGCAAGAGGCTGTGCAGACCGTGCATGCGATCCTTTCGGAGGAAATGCTGAAGGAGCATGACGAAGCCATTCTGAACAAGGTGGCGCTGAGCGCGAGGCAGGTCCAGAAGCTGCAGAAAAGCATCCAGGACACGGGCATGAACTTGGCATCGCTGCTGATGTTTGCTGCGCGGCGCTCCTGCGATCACACCAAAGATCGCCTGCGCGATGTCGTGGAACAGATGCGCGTTCAGGCGACGGAGCAGTGAGGCGGAAGCCGCTGCTGAGCTGGAGTGTCACCTATGCTAGTTATAGCTCGAAGGCCTCACGGCTTAGTAACTTAGAGTGACAGATGGCTGGTACGCAAGGCAGAACGCCGTTGTTGGCAGGCCATCGCAGAGAGCCTGAAGTACGAACCCCCTCCCCCTCCCCTCAGATAGGGTCCAATTTAAAAGTTAAATGGCATGCAGCACGTTTCAAGAAGCCAAGATGGCAGTTGCACGGATTCCGAGAAGCCGTTGCACCAACGAGTGTCCGGTTTGAAAGTGATCTCTGTTCAGGAATGCAGGCAAGTGCCGAGAGTGTCATGGGGCCGGCAGCCAGAGGCTGAAGGCCCTGCATTCCTGAAACATCCGGTCGCCTCTTTGAGAATTTGAGGCTTCAGCTCAAAGTCGCTTTTGTTAAACGGCAACCAATGCTCCCCTTGTCTTTTCCTGATGCAGCGCCCTGGCTTGCAAAAGCGCTCGGGCCTTGTTTCTCTGCGCATCTCTACGCGGCCCTCAGCGCAACACGAGAATTCAGAGCCGACATGGCAGGTCCAAGAACGCCGGCAGCGGGACATGCAGGCGGCATTTGCGAGTCCATGTCCATGCAGGGCAGGGCATTCAGAGGTGTTGTGAGTTGACTGAGCTCAAGAACTTGAGGGCGAAGTCCAGAGCGCCTTTGCCGAGCTGGCTGCCCTGCAGCCAGGACTGGCGACCACCGAAGGTGCGATTAGGGCAGGAGTATGGCTCTGCATGGTAGGTAGCTTGGCTTGCTCGCAGGATCGCAGCCGTCGGTCGAGGCAGCCGGTATTCTCAGCAGAAGGGGTAAAAT